TTCTAGCTTCGCTACACCAATACATTCGTTCTGTGAGTTATAAATTGAACAACCATGTCGATCAAATTCGACTCTGTTTCCGTTGGCAATTATTCTACTCACTGATAGTAAATTGGTAGTGAGGTTAGGCACAAACAAAACATTGTTGACATTGATTACGTGATTCTTACTACCGACACACGTCGTAATCTGTAGATCACCAGAGCATTCAACAGGCACTATCGTATTATTTGCCACAATAATCTCCTTAATCTTGGGTTGATAACAAACATTTGACAAGAAGTTAACGTTGGAAACCAAATGAGTACTTGCGCCGGAATCCAAGTGCCAGTCGGTTTGACTGAATGTTTTTGAGAGAAACACTGCACTAAATGCATTTGACTTCGCTTTTTCTATATGTGGACATCGATTTTTAAAATGTCCAGACTGCTTGCATTTAAAACAACGGATTACTTTTGTTTTTTCTGTTGTGTACTTGTTGCCGCCTCCACTGACATTGACAGTTGATGTTGACGGATACGTTCGGTTTCCGTTTGTTCCGCTGCCGCCGCCATACTGTGAGTGAACGGGTTGATTTTTGTAACCGCCATATTTATGAACATTTTTTCCAGCGATAAATGCACCTTCCGACTTAACCTCAAAACTCATATCCAATAACTTTGTTTTAATAGCATCTGCGTTTATGTTGATCCCCGAATGTTCTATTGCCATTATCATTGGCTCGAATTTCTCCGGTAATCCGGCCAACATTAGTGATCCAATCCATTGGTCATTTATCTCGAAACCGGTTCCTTTCAGTTTCTGCGCGGTTTCCATAAGCTGGCTTACATAGCTGGTCATCGAATCGCAGCTCTCTAGGCGTATATTGATCAGGTTTCTAAGCAAACTAATTTTACGCGAATACCCGGAATCGTCGAACATGCTCTTCAAAGTTTTCCACAGGTCGTATGTTGTAGCACATTGCTTGATGTGAACGTACAAAGAAGCGTCGATCGTTAAAATTAATTTTGCTTTCGCCTTCATATCTTCTGCCTTTTGCACTGATGTAGCCGTTACTGCTAATGGCTGCTTGATAGCGTCCGCCATGCCTTCTAATACTAGCACATTTTCCGCCGCGAAACTCCAGTCGTCGTAATTTTCACGACCTTTCAACTTCGGAACGTTTGTTAAGTAATTAGTCGACATTTTAGTCCAATTGCACTGATTGATCACTTATAGAAAAAACTTTTACGAGCCTGGGCCCATAACCTAATAAAACGCTATGCTGTAGACATGGGTAGCTCGCGAATGAGAGATAAAATTGAGCTAGCTCTTTGATTTCAATCTAGCTCCCAGTAGCTCAGTCGTTCTCGGAGTAGCTCACTAGCTCATTTAGCTCAGTCGCTCATTGACTCTATCTGTAGTATCTGTGGCTTAGCGAGCGAGAGCGAGTTACGAGTGAAAGAGTGATGCCGACACGCGACGATACACGCCGAGAGCGGCTCGACTTCCGACAATGCCCGAACGGGACCGAACTTCTCCGATGAACGTGAACGATTTCGCATGTCGCTCGCTAACCGACTCTTCGGCTCAATACGTCATTGTAAAATAGCTCTTATTACATTGCCGTAAAGGATAAAAATGCTTTATGATTTTTTTGCAAGTATGAGAAATTTGAAAATTCTTATTGGAATACGAGTTTATGGTTTGTTTGTAAACAAAATAAACATCGTTGTTTTGTTATTTCTAAGTTAATTCAAATATTGTTTAGTTAAAAGTTTAATTATTCGTTTTAGTTAGTTCGGACTAGTAAAAAGTGGTGTTTTATGATCAATGATTAAGTGTTTTTGAAGAAAAAGACTGTGTAAAGTGTAAATACCTAAGTACTTTGCTAATCATTATGACTTCTCAAAGAAAAAGAAGTGCCCTGTGGAATCACTTTGAGGAGACAGAACCCAAAATGGCCAAATGCAATTATTGCAGACAAGTAATTAAAATATCGACAGGCAATATAGGAAATTTGGGAAGGCACATGAAAACTAAACATCCCACTATCCCTTGTTATTGAGAGGCAAGTTTTGAATACTGGAGCACAACAGCCAGAGCCAGAGCCAGGTAAGTGCTGGTATAAATTTCGTGCCAGTTCCTTCAACTTCTCATTTAATTTCGCAGCCCTCAATCAGAGAGTTTGCGCAATCAATAAAAAATATGCCACCTCGAAGGGCTGAAAAAATTGATGAACAATTAATGCTGATGATTGCCAAAGGATTTTATCCCTTAAGGATGGTAGAAGATAAAGAATTTCAAAAATTTTTAAACATGCTGTGTCCTGGATACTCATTACCAACAAGAAAAACCTTGTCGGAAACCCTTTTGCCGAAAATTTATGAAAAACAAAAAGAAAACGTAGAATTAAAATTAGAAAAAGCAAATGCAGTATGTTTAACTACTGATAGTTGGACGTCAATAAATAATATCAGTTTTACTGCAATGACCGCTCATTTTATGATTTCAAATCTAACAGAAACAAAATTGGAATCAGTACTTATTGGATGCATCGAATATTCGGACCGGCATACAAGTGCAAATCTAGTTGATTTTTTAAAAAATATGGTTAAAGAATGGAAAATAAATAATAAAATTACTGCAATCGCAAGTGATAATGCTGCAAACATATCTTTAGCAATTAAGTCGAATTGGCGTCACATTCCATGTTTTGCCCATACCTTAAATCTTTGTGTGCAAGGAGCACTAATGCATATTAGTCCTACAATAAACAAAGTCAAGAAAATCGTAGAATATTTTAAAAGAAGCTCTCAAGCCCAAAAAAAATTTGAAGAGATTCAAAACCAACTGAATCAGCCAAAATTGAAATTGAAGCAGGATGTGTCGACAAGGTGGAATAGCACCTATGACATGCTGTCACGTATATTGATTTTAAAAGACGCTGTTATAACGACAGTAGCACTCATTAGAAGTGAATTAAATTTAAATGATAATGACTGGAACGTAATTGCAGCCGCCGTGCCAATTTTAAAGTTATTCTACGAAATAACAGTAGAAATAAGCGCAGAGAAAAATGTTACCTTATCAAAAGTAATACCACTTGCAAAAATCATATCACAGCATATTAAAAATTTAATAAGAGACCCACAACAAATAAATCTGCCAGAAATAAAGTGTATGCTAGAGGCACTTAATAAAGAAATAGATCGGCGATTTGCTAACGTAGAATTAAACCAATTAAATGCAGAAGCTACGATTTTAGATCCTAGGTTTAAAGGAAGAGGTTTTAAGGACCGCGAAAATTACGAAAAAATTTTGAACACTTTGAAATTAAAAGTAGGCGCAAGTACTGAAACATGTGCCCAGCCTCTTACAGCACCCATAGAAGAGGTTCAGCAAACGCCGACGCCTAGTGCGTCATCTGTTTGGAAGGAGTTTGACGATGAAGTGGCAAAATTAACTCCAGCAAATGCAACAGCTGCAGGAATAATCGAATTAAATAACTACATACAAGAGCCTCTCCTAGCAAGAACAAAAGACCCTTTTACATGGTGGCACGAAAGGCGCTCCATATATCCACACCTATTTAATTATGTGCAAAAACGATTAAACTTGGTAGCTACATCTGTTCCCTGCGAAAGAATATTTTCTAAAGCAGGTTACACTTTAAATGAAAGACGAAGTCGGCTTACTACCAGCAAATTGTCGCAGTTATTATTTATTAACTGTAATTCACAGAACAGTTAAATACGTACGTATGAAAGAAAGGTCCCAACGTACAACGAACTTGTAAAATTATTGTAAATATTAGAAATTGATTTGTCCATGCACAATTATTATAAAAAGCTGATTGATTTTTAAATACGCCAATCTAAATGATATCATTGATGATTCATTTAGATTGACAGTCCTAAGCCTGTTCAAGTATGAAGGAAAATCATTGGCTTTTATATAACAAAATATGTGAACAAAACAAACCAATGAGTCTAATTTTATCTATAGCTCGCAAATGAACTAAAGAACTTAAAAGATTATAAAGAGCCGTTGAGCTATTTGTCTCGTTTCACTCAATTCGATCAATTGAGCTGAAGAGTTAAAAGAGTTATTCGGTGAGCTAAAGAGCTAAAAGAGTGATATAGCTCTTTTGATCAAAAGAGCTATATCTCTCTTTTCTTTTCAGTGAGCTACATTTCGCATGTCTACTATGCTGGTTTGCAATCAACTGAACTATATTTGAATATAATTGAACACATTTGAACATTACTCAGCCGTTCATCCGGTCTGTTCATTCTAATGTTATTAAGTTAACATAAGCGACACTAGATGGCATTAGCAGTAACTATAATGATTGATTATTTTGTTATATCTATTTTACACAGAGGAGTTAAAAGTGCATTACTGTCTTTTTTAAAAGAGAATGCGGTATATACTTTAATTTTGAATGATTACGGACATTAGGTACTTTGAATCATTTTTTTTTTCAAAAATATTGAATGGAATAGGTGTTAAGTGTTCGAGAAAGAGGCCATGATTTTTGTTGGTAAAAATAATTACTGTTATGTTAACTCAAACAGTTTAGTCATGCCATGGCAACAACATAGCTAACCACAGAATATGACAAATTATATTATCTAAATTCTAACACAAAGTTATCAGTAATGGCTGATAAAAAAGTGTGGGAACGGCTTATAAAAAACTTGTATAAAATGTTAATACTGCAGAAACAATAGCATACAAAAACGCAATTATCTAAACAATAAAAAAACTCAAATGGGATAATTAAATTAGCACTGCCAAAGTAGCAAATAGCGTATAATGTAAACTTGGAACATTATTTATATGAATGCCATATTTAGATAAGTAAAATATCTGTAGTTTTCAGACAATAACCACCCACCTACCCATAATTACTGTATGCAAAAGGATTCTCCATAGTGCCCAAAAGAGCCAGCACAAACTACAAAATACTAGAACAAATAAATAAATGCTATATGCAAAAAAAAACATCAACTTACCAATTCTAGTAAAAGCCTTGGCTATTAACTTGAAGTCTGCTCTATTTTCCCTTCCAATATCAATAGCTTTCTCGCACTCCTTAATACATTTCTCATACTCTTTCTGCTCAAAATAGACAGCGGCCATGTTTGTGTAAAAGGTTATGTCAGTGGGATCATGTTCTACTGCCTTCTGATAATGTTTCAGAGCATTATCTAAGTCTTTCTTCTTATAGCTTTCATTCCCTTGATCCTTCTCTTGTAATGCTAGCCTTCTGTTCTCTGGCAGGTCATCGTACTTCGGTTTTTCAGGCTCCTGCTTCTTCAGTGGCTCCTCAGTCTTTTTCTCAGGTGCTGGTGGGTCTACATCCATAGGCATTTGAACATCTAGGCCAAACATAATGCTAATTGTAGTGAGGACTCTTTTGTCTTCTAACATATTGCCGAGCTTTTGGACATCGAAGGGATTCTGGACTATTTTCTGTAAATATAAAAGTGGTGATATGAAGCTGCCAATTTTTAACATGATGGGTAGGAAAAAAGTATTGATACTATATTTGACACAAAGATGTTTAGAAATTAGAGACATTAGCCAGACAATAATGTTTAAACTGTCAAACACCGCGAGGACACCGGTGACCGCAACCTATTGTTCTTTAATTGTGTCTATAATGACGGTACTCAAAGGGAAGAACATTAGCCAAAATAGGTTTTATACTCTATATCAGTGCTGTCCAAACTATATAACCTCACGGGCTAATTAAATTTATTACAAAATCTGGAGGGCCAGAAAAATGTTCTCAGTAGTATAATGACGTTTAACATTATGTTCTTTACTCAAAGACAGAACTTGTAGATAAATGACACACTGAATTTTATTACTGTTGTTAACTTGCTACACATAAGATGAAGATGTTGAGAATGTGCATCACTGGCCATATGAAAACAAGCCTATTTGGACAGCCCTGCTCTACCAGGTAAATTTTACCTGTTATGTTGAAATACACAAAACAAGGCTTTTATTAATCCACTGGTACTTGGACATGGGTCACAATAAGATGACAAATTGCATTGCATTAATTATACTCCTCATTATGTTGATATATCATAATGCAAATTCCCCAAAATTTGATCATCTAAAAGTACTCTCTAAACATCGGAAATATGGTCTATAATGAAGTTAGTTACGAGCAGTCACCGGCAACCGCTTGGGGATTAAAACTGATCAGATAAAATGTAAAACAAAAAAACAAGTCAATATTTAGACATATTTCTACTGCTTCAAAGCTGTGTTATTGGAGGACTCCCTGCCTCACAAACAAAATAATTGAATATCCATATTATAATATTTAATGACACACATATATGTGAATTTATAAATCAGTCATCCAGTATGGGTAAGTTCAACCTCATTTACATAGAATTGCTGATTGAACTTTTTACATGTAATTTAGATCTCACATGTATTGAGGATCAAGTACGCAATTAAACCAGAATTCTAAAGAACATTATCAAATGATGGGACTACTAAAAATAATTAAATAATGCTTTTTTCTTTGTCCGCAAGCAGTAGTCATTTAAAATATTTGATCAACTGAATATGTTAATAGTACATTTCCTTTATCAAATGCTAATTTATGCACAGAACAAAAGTATAAGTAATAAAATGGAAGAATATAGTGAGAAACAATAGGAATAAAGGTATTCAACAAAATGATTATGATATAGATTCAACAATTATGTAGTAATTTACTTACTTCAACAATTTTACAGTATTCTGGATCATTTAACCAGTCCCTCGTCTTTGGGTTATTCCTGAGCTTCTCAAACACCTGTTCTAATTTGACCTTATTGTCAATAATTGTTTGCTGTACATCAGCCAAGCCTGTGGCCAACTGTTCATTGTTAGGGTCTAGCTCTAAACCCTTGTTGTAAGTCTCTATCGCCTCTGCATGCCGGCCCAAGTACGCCAGCGCAGAACCTTTACGGGAGTACCCCTTGGTCCAAGTAGGGTTAAGAGCGATGGTCTGGTTAGCATCCTCTAAAGCTGCTTCGTAGTTCTGAGCCTTAGCATGAGCTGCCGACCGGTTGCTATAGAGAACGTGGTTACTAGGATCCACGGCAATAGCCTCCGTGTAGAATTTCACGGCATCGTCCAACTTCCCTGCTGCTAATGCCGCATTTCCCTTCTCCTTTAACTGAGTCGCCTAAAAATATAACCACGCTAGAATTGTGCTACTTCATTTAATATTACAGCCTCAAAGCATCGGTATAACCTCTTACCTGATCCATAATAGGTTCTTCTAAAAACTTATCAAACCAAGATGCACTTGCAGTAAAATATTAACTTTTAACTATCTTAAGTTTTCACTTAGCAAACCTTTCTTTATTTCACTAATTTGTTCGCGGAGTTCAAACAAGCAATACGAAGTCTAGAACTGACACTTCAAATTCGAGAAAATTCTCGCCAGAATGCGATAAAGAATGACTTTCCAGAATTAGTGTACAATTTTTAACATTTCAATGCAATAGTAAATTCCCAAAATTATATTGTACTCTGTCTCACATGCAGAATTTCACGTAAAGCTATCTCGCTTAATAAAGAAATAAGTTTTTGTTTCTGAATGATTGAATACTAGTCTTTTTAGTTCACCGACTGATCGACAGCTGATTTTGTCAATGGTTTGTTTTAGGTTTTTATTTTGGTATTCAATCAAAGCTTTTTCTTTTCACCACTAGTTCATTACCTACGCTTGTTTTTTTCCTTAATCTTATTTTACCCGTAACAAACTTATTTTCGCATTTATAATACTAGTTGTAAGTTGTAAATGGTTGTAAAATTCCCGAGTGCAAGGGTTTGAGGCTTGGGTTGTGCATAGTGCAAATTAATCAATATGTTTCCAGTGAAACTTTAATAATTTATTCAATTCAAAAACAAGGTCATTCGTTTTTTGCGCAGGACTCAGAGCATTTTATAATAAAACATTATTATTCCTTTATCAATTTTTCCCTTGGCATCCCCATCATCGACATTATTTATAAATTCTGTTTAATCTGTGCACTGAAAAATGTCTCCTGAGTTGTCTTAGATAGCATACTATCGAGTGTTTTATTTTATTTTTGACCAGCTTTCTCTAATCTAAATCACACAAAATTAATTCAGCACCTACCGCAGGGCTGTGAAAATAGTGAGTTTGTAATTGGAGCCTTGACAATTGTGTAGTAGTGTCGCCGTTAATCATTTAATAGGACCGACGCTTGTCACGCTAATCATTATTTTGTAGTGTTCGTAATTGGTTCCTAGACGTTGTGGGGAATACCAAGTGGTAGTTGGGATCGATGGCAGCTTGAGTGTTTCCGTAGTGTGATTATTGGGGGGAGAGAGGCTGCCCCTGTTCGGTGACTCATTCGCGGGCTGGTGCGTTGGAAATCATGGATACCGATGATGGAGAATCCTCGAGCAGCGGTCCTATGTCCAGCCTGAACAGCCTGTTCTCGTTCACAAGTCCCGCCGTCAAGAAATTGCTGGGTTGGAAGCAGGTATAGTAACGAAATCACCCTTATTGTAATGTGTTGGCTTTGTAAGCAGTTTGTGTGTTATTTTCTATCCTGTAAGCTTTAAAACAAATCATGAATCAATAAAAAGTAATAGCTCTCTGAGAAAGTAATGAGTGATAGAACATCCCATTCATAATATTATTAGAAAATACCATGCATATCCTCCACATTGTTAACTGGCCATCGGACTTAGGATTATAAGGTGAAACCTTCTTATTCATAAAATAAATAACATGTGGTTGATAGGCCCAAGAATCTATTGGAAATTCTATTCATCAATTCATTATTTTCTATAAAGTTGTCTTAGAGATGATTTTAAAGAGAGTTCCATAAAAACATAACATAACATCACACCTTTTATCCCCGGAGAGGTAGGCAGAGGTGCACATTATGCCAGTGCACAGTGTAACACCCACTTTTCACTATTTATGTTATGAGTCCCATGTAATAGAGGGTGAGCTTATTGCCATATACCGGACACAATTCCAAAAAAAACATTAACTTTGGCCAACTCGAGAATCAAACCATAGAGCGGTCGCACCTGTGACCACTAGGCCAATGAGGCAGTCCATAAATGTGTAGGTTTTTACAAACTTAATTTCTAATTTTTTCCTTGAACATCAAATAAGGAAATATTTACTTAAGTGCTGTTTGAAAAGTTTTAAAATAAGAAAATTTCTTTCCTTGCTTTAACTCGTCGAGTACCGTATTTATAGACACAATTAAAGAACAATAGGTTGCGGTCACCGGTGACCGCTTGCCTGGTGTTTGACAGTTTAACACTTAAAAAAAGCCTAGTGATTCAAAGGTCTAAGGACATCATAGAATTTAATCCTTAATAACTACATAGTATTTATTTATTTATCATTTATGTACACACAACATAAAGGACAACACATATATAAAAACGAGGTACATAGGTATATGAATATGTTGTCAGATATTATGTACATGTTTGCAGTTAAGTCCTCAAAGGTTTGTTTGGTTACTCGGTCTATCTTTGATTGTTTTATTATCTATGGAATTATGATAAAAAAATAACAATTCAGATGCAACTGTTTTGCAACTTTATTCTACGAAACAAACATTTAAGTATCTGTAAGTTAAACAGTTACTGCTTTCTGATTGTAACCAACTTCCTTTCAACTCTATCTCCACTCCAAGTTTTAACTTGATTACCAGTTAATCTGACGCACTGTTTGTCTATATAAATGTGTCAAACATGAGTCAGGTGTGCTAACACAACTTTTCTTGGCAATGGTGAAACATCCATACAGTTTACAATTAAATATTATTTCTGTTACAAAATATTTGGGTTCGATTCCCGGGTCGGGCAAAATGCTACTGGGTTCTTTAAAAAAATTGTTGGTAGTAGTACGGAGTCTGGAATTGTGCCCAGTATTTGGCAATAGGCACACCCCCTATTACATGGGACTCATAACATAAATAGTGAAAGGTGGGTGTTACATTGTACAGTGGCATAATGTACACCTCTGCCTACCCCTTCGGGGATAAAAGGCGTGATGTTATCTTATGTTATGTTACAAATTAGTTACAGCAATCAATCTATATACTTAATATTGTAAAGCTGAAGGGTATGTATCATTGTTGGTTGGAACTTCCTATTCTCTGGAATTACTGGTTATTGAATAATAGTTTTTGTGTTAAATAGTCCACTTATCAAGGAACACTATAAAACATCACTACAATGAATATTTTATATACTTAGTAGTTTAACAACTACTTCTTTCAACCGGTGTATCTGGAAGTCAGTGGCGTAGGCCTATGTTCTCGACAGATCAACTTTGATTATTAGTTAATTAGCGACCCGCTCCGGCTTCCCACGGGTGCAATATGCATGTATTATACATATAAACCTTCCTTAAAAATCACTCTATTAAAAAAAACCCCATCAAAATCCATTGCGTAGTTTTAAAGATCTTAGCATACATAGGGACAGACAGACGGCAGATAGCGACTTTTGTATACTATGTAGTGATTGTAGTTAAAGTTATTGATAAAAAAGTGAAATACACTGACATTTTTTTGACTGACTATGTTACCAGTAACATAACAGTATTGATTGAACTAACATATTCTACAAATGCAACAGAGTTCCTGTTTATCCAAGGTGTTAAGCTCACAGGGCTTGGGATATTCCCAACACTGAGAACTTATAAAAGCAACAATAAATCATATTGGTTCAATATGAGTCATACACAGTCAATATGTTCCTAGGAACTATGAGTCATATGTTTCAAAATATGTTGTTTACTATCACACAATCAAGATTTCTTTTATTTCTTAATATTATTGAAGGATATTTTGTTTACAATATATTTGACTAACATAATTGATTTCCGAAAATTTTGCTGTGACACATATCCTGTTATTGTTATTGCTTCTTCTGACTGCCTCGTTGGCCGAGTGGTCGCAAGTGCGACTGCCGGGCAAGGGGTCTCGGGTTCGATTCCCGGGACGGGCAAAGTATTAATGGGTTTTTAAAAACAATCTCAGTAGTAGCACGGATTCTGGAATTGTGCCCGGTATATGGCAATAGGCTCACCCCCTATTACATGGGACTCTTAACATAAAATAGTGAAAAGTGGGTGTTATATTGTACAGTGGCATAATGTGCACTGCAACCTACCCCATCGGGGATAAAAGGCGTGATGTTATGTATGTTATTGCTTCTAACTCTAAGTTAATATTTGGTTAAAATGCCTTGCTGGCCGCACAAGAACTCATAAATGATATTTACCTTAAACAAAAATACTTATTATCTACCTGATTGTTTTGAAACATGTCAATAACAAAATCTTTGAAAATCTAAATCTACCTTTTGAGTCAAGAGCCAAAAATTTATTATATAAGAAAATTGTCTAATTAATTTGTAAGAGATGCAGCTGCTGCATAAGCATCTTTATTAATCAACTGATAAGGCACATAATTACTAACTACTAATAAAAACTAGCAAAGCCTACTGCATTAAATAAAATAGGATTTTATGGGATAAGTTGGTAAACGAGCAGACAGATCACCTGATGATAAACAATCAGCGTCGCTACTGGACAGCAGAGGCATTACAAGTGCGTTACCGGCCTATTGGGACTTTGAGGATTGTGGGGGATTCGGGGATTGGGGAGACTGGAGGGGGCTAGTAGGGCCTCCGGTAACCTCATTCACACGACGGAACACAACGCAAGTGTTGTTTCGCGTCGGTTTTTCTGTGAAGCCGTGGTATCACTCCGGTCGAGCCGGTCCAATCGTGATGAAACATGGCTCTCCCACACTCAAAATATTATTTATTTACCCAACTTACAGCAAGCAACACCATTTATTTCGATTAAACCATAATTTGATACTTTTAAAACGTCAACAAACATCCTTACTATAAGTCGATATAAAATGGTGAATGAATGAATTTCTAACATTTAATTGATTCATTTAACATCACCCGTGCATTGTTAATATAACAGGCAGTGGTAGACATGTTTAGAATAAGTGATTAATTTACCAGTTTACTTGGTTTCCTTCCTTAATCTAAAGTTGAATGTAAATAGGAAAAATGGCAAAGACTTTATTGCTCTAGAATAGTTTTTTTTTATGCGGTCGACGTATTCCATCGTAGACCGCATCACCGCTTATACACC